CAGCCTTGGAGGTGGGCTCCCAGGTGAGATGGGCCCCAGGTCTGATTCAGTCTGGCCATCCCCATGCAGCCTGTTTTGGGTGATGTTTGGATGGTGAGAATGGGTGGAAACATGATCTGGGTTTGCGAAGAAGCCCAAGGGATTTAGGCACCTACTTCCCAGTGGTTATTTTCAATCCCAGACACTTTTTCAGACCGTGTCCCTTTGAGGCTTCTCCCAAACCCATGGGAGTCAGTGGCAATGGGGCAGAACAGGCTCTGGGGCAGGCCCTGTGTCTCTGCAGGCCTCTGTGCTGGTGCTTTTACCAGCAACTCCCACAACATTGACCGGGCGCCCTCACTCCCACCGACGCTGCTTTGCAGTTTCCCTCTTGGTGTCCGAGAAGGGACAGACCCCGGCAGCCCCTGGGAGCGACGGAGCTGGGAGCACAGACCCCAGCGCGGCAGAATGCAGCGCCCGCCTGGAGCGTTTCCGATCCCAGCTGTGCCCCCCGGCCCAGCCCGGCCCAGCAGGTAACCCCAGCTCGTGTGTCTCTGAGCCGCCCTCCGCCCCGGGCACGGCCAGTGGAAACCCAGCGGCCGTCCCAGCCCGTGGGGATCCTGCAGGGCAGGGACACGCCGCCCCCTGCTGGCTGCACCCATCTAGCCACCAGCCCCGCTGGGTGCCAGGCGAGGAATATGAATGGACGTCCTCCGCTGGGACTGTGCACGGGGCAGCGACATCTACTGGCCGTTCAGGTTAATACACAGCCACGAAGATTTTAATAACAATGTAATAGAAAAAAACAACCAGGAGTCCGGTGGCACTTTAAAGATGAACAGATTTATTTGGGCAACAGCTTTCGTGGGTAAAAAACCCACTTCTTCAGATGCACGGAGTGAACATCACAGATGCAGGCATTATTCTACTGACACATGAAGAGAAGGGAGTTACCTCACAAGGGGAGAGCCGGTGTTGACAGGGCCAATTCAATCAGGCCCTGTCTGATACAACCCAATTGAGCCAAGCCCTAAGATACAACCGCATTTGCTCCAATCCCTCAGATAGAGACAAACACCTACAAGATCTTTATGAAGCGTTCTTAAAACTACAATACCCACCTGGGGAAGTGAGGAAACAGATTGACAGAGCGAGACGGGTACCCAGAAGTCACCTACTACAGGACAGGCCCAACAAGGAAAATAACAGAACATCACTGGCCATCACGTACAGCCCCCAGCTAACACCTCTCCAGCACATCATCAACGATCTACAACCTATCCTGGAAAATGATCCCCCACTCTCACAGACCTTGGGAGACAGGCCAGTCCTCGCTTACAGACAGCCCCCCAACCTGAAATAAATACTCACCAGCAACTACACACCACACCACAGAAACACTAATCCAGGAACCAATCCCTGTAACAAATCTTGTTGCCTACTCTGTCCCCATATCTACTCTAGCGACATCATCAGAGAACCCAACCCCGTCAGCCACACCATCAGGGGCTCATTCACCTACACATCTATTGTGATATATGCCATCATGTGCCAGCTATGCCCCTCTGCCATGTACATTGGCCAAACTGGATAGTATCTATGTAAAAGAATAAATGAACACAAATCGGACATCAAGAACGGTAACATACAAAAGCCAGCAGGAGAACACTTCAATCTTCCTGGACATTCGATAACAGATTTCAAAGTAGCCATCCTGCAACAAAAAACCTTCAGAAACAGACTTTAAAGAGAAACTGCAGAACTAAAATTCATTTGCAAATTTAACACCATTAATTTGGGCTTGAATAGGGCCTGGGAGTGGCTGGCTCACTACAAAAGCAACTTTCCCTCTCCTGGAATTGATACCTCCGCATCAGTTATTGGGAGTGGACCACATCCCCCGTGATCGAATTGGCCCTGTCCACACTGGTTCTCCCCTTGTGAGGTAACTCCCTTCTCTTCATGTGTCAGTATAATAATGCCTGCATCTGTAAGTTTCACTCCATGCATCTGAAGAAGTGGGTTTTTCCCCACGAAAGTTTATGCCCAAATAAATCTGTTAGTCTTTAGGGTGCCACCGGACTCCGCATTGTTTCTGTGGATACAGACTAACACGGCGACCCCCTGAGACTTGACACAATGTAATACAAAGCTGTCCAATTTTTTTCAGTGTGTGTGGGGGGGTTTCACATAGCGTAGCGTATCAGGGTTGGAAGGGACCTCAGGAGGTCATCTAGTCCAACCCCCTGCTCAAAGCAGGACCAATCTCCAATTTTTGCCTCAGATCTCTAAGTGGCCCCCTCAAGGATTGAACTCACAACCCTGGGTTTAGCAGGCCAATGCTCAAACCACTGAGCATCTTATTAGTGAGATTGTCTTACGGTCCCATCCACTCCCATTCCCTGCCATCTGGGCCCAATGTCCCCTCCCATTCACCCTGGGTCCCAGCCTCCCCTCCTGTTCCCAGTTTCACACCACCCCTTCCCCCCAGTTACTCCAAGACCCTACTAGGCCATTCTGGCAGTGTAAAGGGGCCTTAAAGTGGGTACATTGGCCCCTGAGAATCTCCCCTGTCCTGGGGGGGGCCTCTCCGGCTGATGTGAAGCTGGGGTAAGGGCCCTCACCCACCCTGTTCCCAACCCCCAAATTGGGGGGCAGATTGGTAGTGTGGCTAGAGTGCAGTGCGCTGTGGGTCTTTTCTGCTTCCCAGGGCCCATCTGGGAGCAATGGATAAGGCAGAGCAGCCCCGAGGCTGCTGTAACTGATACCGGGAGCCAGGCAGGGCCTGGCCCAGCCCCAGATTTCAGGGAGCACAAAGGGGACTCAAACCCATTTGAACCCCGTTCCTACCCCAGTCGCAGGAAGGGAGTAGCCAGGAATGAGGCCCAGAGGGCTCAAAGCATTAATGAATCCTGTCTCCTTATAGGCGGCTCCGGGTGCAAACTCTGCCCCACCGACTGGCAGCTGCGTGGGGACAAGTGCTACTGGGTCTCCAGAGGAGGTAAAACGTGGAACAAGAGCCGCGCCGACTGCTCAGCGAGGGGCTCCCAGCTGCTGGTGATCCGGGACCACAAGGAGCTGGTAAAGGGGATGATCCCTTCCTGCTGGAGCTGCCCCTGCAGGGCTGGGCCCTGGGTGCAGTGTCCAAGGGCATGCATAGGTTACATGATAGGGCTGGGATTTGCAAAGCAGCCTAGGGTATTTGGACACCCTGTTCCCATTAATTGTTAATAATAGGGTGTCCAAACCCCCTAGGCTGCTTTGACAATCCCAGGCTAAATCACTAGCCCCAAGATCAGGGGCACACAAAGGTGGCTTAAAGCTACTGATACCCTCCCCCTTCTGGGGTGTGCAGCTGGAGAGAGGGGCTGGGGGTGTGTGAGGATAGGTGGCTACAGAGAGAGGGCGGTTGGATAGATAGATGGACGGATAGAGGGGTGTATATGGGGGATAGTTGGATGAGTGTGTATGGAGACAGATGTATGGGGATGGATAATGGGTGTGTATACGGATAGATGGACAGACAGACAGACAGAGGTTCTGATCCTGAGGTTGTCGACAACCTGGATTCACAAGAAAAGAGCCTGACAGCACATCTGGTCACCAGCTGCCTGTCCCACGCTCCCTGCAGGAGTTCCTAAAGGACCTGACACAAGGTTCACGTCTGTTCTGGATCGGACTCTCCGTTTCCTCCCCGGAGAAGGCCTGGACCTGGCTGGACGGCTCCCGGCTGGATCAGACCCTGTGAGTGATTCCTTGAGTCAAACACTTTCCCTCCCCTCTGTGGGCAGCAGAGGCCAGGGTCTGGGATTGGGGAGGTTTTTGGGGGGAAGGTCGGGAGCTCAGGGGAGCTGTGTTCAGTGTCAGACGATGCTGAGACCCGAGGAGGGGAGCTGGGGAGCCCGGCTGAGAGGGGGGGCTGGGTGGGAGCAGACAGGGCCATGGGGCAGGGAGAGATTTGTGCATCCCCCAGCACAGAGATGGTGGCTGGAGCCCTGGGGGCGGGGGAGGTGGCCCAGAGACGGGGTGTGGAGGGAGAAGAGCAAAGGGGCCAGGCCAGAGCCCTGGGGATCCCCCAGACAATGGGGCAGGGGGGAGGGGGAGACACAGAGCCGCCAGAGAGGCAGGAGGGGATCAGGAGGGGGCAGCGTCGGCCCAGCCCGGTGGGGAGGGGACGCGGAGCAGGGGAGGGAGATGGACAGGGTCTAGCCCAGCGGGGAGGAGGAGGCTGGAGCAGGTCCCTGGGCTCTGGGCAGGGAGAGGCCGTTCGAGACCCTGGCCAGGGCCCTGACAGTGGGGAGAGGGGGCAGCCCCCAGGGCAGAGCTGGAGGAGACGACGGCTGTGGATCCCATTGGAACAGGGAAGAGCCACTACCGACTGCCTGTCCCGCAGGTTCCCGGTGTCAGGCCCGGCTGACGGGAACAGCTGTGGGGTGGTGAACGAGAATCAGATTGGTTCTGACATCTGCAGCTCTGCATTTCAGTCGATTTGCCAGAGAGACGCCGTCCGGGGAGGAGACCTCAGAGCGCAGCACTGTTAGCCCCATGTCACACATGGGGAAACTGAGGCACAGACACTGACCTGCCTGAGATTAGGGCGAGTGTGTGGCAAAGTAGAAATGGAACCCAGGAGTCCTGACTCCCAGTCGTCCCACAGGCAAAAGAGTTTAAAGGGGTTAATTCCATTGAGAAGAACAATTCCAAGCTCTGGGGTTACATGTTCCAGCAGGAGTTGGAGGCGCTGCGGGGGCAGGGCTTGGGCCGTAGGGGTAATGCTCTGCACAGCCCTGGGGCAGTTTAGCCCCGGACGGACGTGGGAGGGAGGAATCTGCCAGATTCCCAGCTGGTGTAAATCAGCATCCATCCAGGGACTCCAATGGAGCAGCACTGACTGACCCGAACTGGGGATCTGGCCCCATTGACTCCGTGGTGCTATGGTGGATTCACGCCAGGTGGGGATCTGGGGTTTCACCTCTATTTCACTCCTGATTAATTTCTTTGCACCTCTCTGCCAGGTCCCTCTCTGAGCTCTCTTCCCCGGCCCATCCATTACTCCCGTCCGCACCTCTGCCCATCCTGCCCTAACTGATCGTTAACTCCTGTCACTAATGGTGGGGTCTCAGCTTCCCCAGTCAGGCATCAGAGCTTTACCATGCTGACGGGCTGTCCCCTTGCTATCTCCTCAGAGCATCGCTAAGGGGATCAGTCCCTCGATCCCAAAGGGAACCTTTCCATGCGTGTTGCTTGGTGATCTCTGGGGTCACTGTCTCTGTCAGAGGAGCCAGGTGGGGACGCTCAGGGGCACTATGGGGAGGGCTGGGGGCTAACGAACGCCCTGTTACTCAGTGGCCCGGCAGCCCAGGAGGAGATGGACTGGGAAAGCTGGAGGGCAGGTTGGCTGACCAAGCCAAACAGACCCCAGTGTCTTTAGGAGCCGCCACTCCCCGAGACAGCTGGGCTTGTGACTGCCAGAGAACAGAACTGGTCTGGTCCGTGCAAGAGACAGGGCTGGCGAGCGTACACACATTTTGGGTTTGGTCATCGGGGCCGGATGAATGCACCATACTGATGGCGATGTCCGGGGAGGGAGGCAGTGTGGCCTAATGGATAGCACACTGGACTGGGACATGGAAAGCTGGGTTGTGTTCCTGGCTTTGCTACAGAAGGGCTACCCTGGTGTTTGCTGCACCCTCTCTAGCCCCCAGCCTCGGCTGACGGGCTGGATGCCCCGTGCCTGCTGGGTGACTCTGCGTACAATACTTCATCTCTTTGGGTTTGTCTACACCAGGGTTCTCAAACGTTATTGCACCACGACCCCCTTCTGACAACTAAAATTACTGCACGGCCCCAGGACGGGAGACCAAAGCCTGAGCCCGCCCAAGTCCTGCTGTCCCGGGCCGGGGGGTGAAAGCCAAACCTCAGGGGCTCCAGCCCTGGGGATGGGGGACTGCAACCTGAGCCCTGCCACCCAGGGCTGAAATCCTGGGGCTTTGGCCTCAGGCAGTGGGGCTCAGGCTTCGGCTTCAACCCCGGGCCCCAACAAGTGTAACACCAGCCCTGGATTTGAGGCTGGGGGAGAGGAGCCCCTCCCTTGGCCCAGCCCAAACCGAGCTGCCGTGGGTGGGGAGAGGCGCCTCTCCCCCGGGCCCGAGCTGCTGCGGTGAGAGAGGGCTGGGGTGGGAGTCCTCTCTCCCCACCGCACCTCAGGGCAGCCTGCACCCCAAATCCCTCATCCCCGGCTACATCCCAGAGCCCGCATCCCCAGCCAGAGCCCTCATCCCCCCTGTAGCAAGGCGGTGTGGGTCCCCGCCGCCGCCCCACAGAGGGACGAGCCCCTCCGGACACCAGAGAGGGCGGAGCCAGGGAGCTCTGAGCCCGCCCCCCAGAGGGTCAGGCATGGCACAGGAAGGATAAGGGCCCCACACCAGAGGCCTGCGTCCCCCTGTCACCCAACTCGCGGGTGGCAGCCTCCCCCTCTCCCAGGCCTGACTCACCCTTGCCCTGCCCTGAGCCAGGGCATGGGCTGACAACTAACTGTGGTTTTGCCCTCACAAAGGCTGCGGGGGAAGACTCCTGCGGCTGGACTAATTCCCTGCTTGGCCTTCTCCCCAACTTAGTGAGGCGGTGGGGGGTCCCTGCCGCCCCAGGGAGAGAGGAGCCCCGGCTAACCTCATTACACCCCCACATCCCAACCCTCTGCCCCAGCCCTGAGCCCCCTCCCACACTCCGAACCCCTCGGCCCCACTCCCACCACATGAACTTTGGTAAGTGCACCCAGAGGGAGGTGCTGTGTCACGTCACATAAAATTCATTCCACACATGGATGTAGATCATTAGAGGGAACAGTGATTGTGACCCACTTTGGGGTCCCGACCCACAGTTTGAAACCGCTGGTCTACACTACAATTAGACACTTGGGTCAGCTGGCTCTGGCCCATGGGGCTCGGGCTAAGGGGCTGTTTAATTCCCAGGTGGACATTTCTGGCTCGGGCTGGAGCCTGGGCTCTCGGACCTTTCCACCTCGTGGGGGTCCCTGAGCTCGGGCTGCAGCCAGAGCCCCAGTCGCTATACTGCAGTTAAACAGCCCCTTCATTTGAGGCCACGTCAGCTGGCACGGGCCAGCCGCAGGTGTCTAACTGCAGCGTAGACACCCTTTGTGGTTCACTTTCCCCATCTGAGAAACGGGGATAATGAGACTTTGTGAAGTGCTTTGAGATCTACCGTTGGACAGCTCTAGATCAGAGCGAGGGATTATTACTATCACATGGACAGTAAAGATTCCTGTTAAACCGTGCAAAAGCAGAGTGTGTTTATTCTTGATGTGCCGAAGAGCGGACAGAACCCTGGCTTGGGATTCAGGACAACTGGGTTTATTCCTGTCTCTGACCTGTTCTGTGACTTTCCACGAGTCACTTACACTCTCTGTGCTTCCGTTTCCTCTCCCAGCCTTTGTCTGTCTTGTCTATTTAGACTGTGAGCTGCTTGGAGCAGGGACTGTTTCTCCCTGTGTGTCTGGGCAGCGTGAGACACAACGGGGCCCTGATCTCAGCTGGAGCCTCTACCTGCTGATGTGATACTGTCATAAATATAAAGAAAAGGGTAGCATAAAATCCCTCCTTGGCAGCTGTACTGAATCGCTTTATCTCTAAGGGGTTAAGTAGCTCAAATCACCTAGTCAGCACCTGACCAGAAGGACCAATGAGGAAAGAAGATACTTGCAAATCAGGGGGAAGAGAGAATTTCTTTGTTGTTGCCTCTCCAGACAGAGGGAGAGACCAAGCAGATACATCTCCTGAAAATATATCTGGAATGATCCATCTAAAATTACAGCAATTGTAAGTAAGGCAAGGAAATGCATTAGGTTATCTTTTGGTTTACCTTGTGAATTTTCCTATGCTACAAAGGTAGTTTTATTCCTGTTTTTGTAACTGTGAAGCTGAGTCCAGAGGGGAGTCCTCTGTGTTTTTAATCTTTTTATTACCCTGTAAAGTGACCTTCCATCCTGATTTTACAGGTGTGATTCTTTTCCTTTTTTCTTTATTATAAAGTTCTTCTTTTATGAACCTGATTGATTTTAGTGTCCTAAAGATAAAGGGTCTGGTCTGTACTCACATCGCTAAAGCAATTAGTTGGTATATTATTCTCAAGCCTCCCCAGGAAAGAGAGCGAAGGGGCTTGGTGGGATATTTTTGGGGGGACAGGGATTCTTAGGGTATGTCTACACTACAAAATTAGGTCGAATTTATAGAAGTCATTTTTTTAGAAATCGTTTTTATATATTCGAGTGTGTGTGTCCCCACAGAAAATGCTCTAAGTGCATTAACTCGGCGGAGTGCTTCCACAGTACCGAGGCAAGTGTCGACTCCCGGAGCGTTGCACTGTGGGGAGCTATCCCACAGTTCCCGCAGTCTCTGCTGCTCACTGGAATTCTGGGTTGAGATCCCAATGCCTGATGGGGCTAAAACATTGTCGCGGGTCGTTCTGGGTACATATCGTCAGGCCCCCGTTCCCTCCCTCCCTCCGTGAAAGCAGGAACAGACAATCCGCTGATGAGCTCTGCATGGTCACCTCTGCTGATGAGTTCTGCATGGTCACCTGCAGCTTGCCACGCTGGCCAAACAGGAAATGAGATTCAAAAGTTCGCGGTTCTTTTCCTGTCTACCTGGCCAGTGCATCTGAGTTGAGAGTGCTCTCCAGAGCAGTCACAATGGAGCACTCTGGGATAGCTCCTGGAGGCCAATACCGTCGAATTGTGTCCACAGTACTCCAAATTTGACCCGGCAAGGCTGATTTAAGCGCTAATCCACTTGTCAGGGGTGGAGTAAGGAAATCGATTTTAAGAACCCTTTAAGTCGAACAAAAGGGTTTCATCGTGTGGACGGGTGCAGGTTTACATCGATTTAACGCTGCTAAATTCGACCTAAAGTCCTAGTGTAGACCAGGGCTAAGTGACCCTTACCTGAATTTTGTGTAAATCACTTGGTGGTGGCAGCAATACCGTCCAAGGACAAGGAAAGGAATTTATGCCTTGGGGAAGTTTTTAACCTAAGCTGGTGGAATATGAGCTTAGGGGGTCTTTCATGTGAGTCCCCACATCTGTATCCCAGAGTTCAGAGTGGGGAGGGGAACTATGACGGATAAAAAGATTATTTGTATCTTCCTGAGGCTTAGCACGGTGGTTAGCGAGCGTGTGTGTCACTGTTCGCAGTTTGTCTCATCAGGAATGGTTCCTGGGGATTGCACCTGGCCAGAGAGAACAGCCCGGCTCTTTGATCTCTCTCCCCCACATTCCAGTGGGCTCACGACAGACCCGTTCTTCCCCAAGGCAGAGACACCAGTGCGGAGCCCTGCCCTTTATAGGCAGAGATCAGAGAAAAGCCCAATGAGAGCAGTGCCCTTCCCCTCAACCACATCACCCCCCGGTGGGCAGAGTTTTCCCTCATTCTGGGGGAGCCCCTCCCCAGCAGGCAGAGGGAAAGACAGGAAGGATGACCGAAAAACAGACACACTCACATTGTCCTCAGCTCATTAGTCCTTGTGGAGGAGGGGCGCTCACAGCCCTGGCAGGAGGATGCAGCTGCTGCCTCAGTTTCCCTCCTCGGTTGGGAGGAGCCATTCACATGAGGACTTAAGTTTACAAAATAAAAGTTTCCCTTCTGGGAGCTGGTGTATTATTATACAAATATTTATGTACACACATGTATATACACACACACACACGTCTATGCTAGCACGTTCCAGCCATCCCCTCCTGTCTGCGGCGTCTCTTCACACTCCCCCAGCACTCAGCAGGGCCTCCACAACAGCCCGTCTCGCTGTACAGCAGAGTTCATGCGTCCAGGCTGCAGGGTTCACACCGGCCCCTTCACCGCATGGCTGCAGGGGCCACAGCACCTCCCGATGGCCCCAGCTGGTCCATTAGCCTCTAGCCACAGCTCGGGCCAGGCTCCTGCCCTGGGCCCCCGACAGGAGGGACACAGCAGGCTGGGCTGCTCCCCTTCTCATTTCCAAGTCAGAAGATCCCTTCTCTGTGACAGAGAGCGAGCTGGGGGATGCTGGCTAATCAGCACCCTCACCCCAGTCCCCAAATGGCCCAATGGGTGCCAGAGGCTCCAAGGGGAGGAGACATCAGATGTCCTTCAGCAAGCGTCTCTCTTCCTTGCTGCTGGGGCTGTCCCCCTTCGCCAGCCCCATCCAGTTCCCCAGTCACTGAGGCAGCTTGGGACAGCCCCGTTAAAAAGACAAGGCCCCGCCTCATCCAGGTCACTGTCACTTTGCTCTGCCTTCTGGTTTCTCCGCTGGTTTGCTGCAGATCCAGTGTCCCGCCCTGGAGCAGTCTGAACTGGCAATTTCGCCATTGTCCACATAAGCACATAGGCCTCCTCCCAATATCATAAGCCTGTAACAGCAACAAATAATAATAAAAAACCCTGCACAACTGTCAGAGCAGCTGTGAGGTTGCACTCCATATGCTTTATGGAAATATGCTTATGAGGGTGAATATGATGGAATATGCAAAAGGTGTCTTGTAAGGTATCATAACAAAGTATCATAACATACTGAATATATTCCTCCTATATGTATGCATGTATCATTGTTGTATCTGAAGCTAGAAATATGAAGTATAACTCTGAGGTCCTATAATAATTATGCAAAGCGTGGGCCATTAATGGTGGTTTAGAATCTTGATGGCTCCCAATGACTAGGACAATTGGTGGTAAATGGTTTATTTACCTGCAAACCTTCCTGTGGATGTGTGGGCCAACCCAGGAAGAATGGAGACTAGGGGCCTTACAGTGATGTGACCATGTCACATGGTAATGGAGCCCATCTTAATCCTTGTACTTTTCCATTGATGAGGTGGGGATGGGGACAAGCACAGACAAAAGATTCCCACCTTGTGCCAAAGCTATAAAAGTGGGTGGAGCAGGAGAAAGAGGGTGGCCAGTCATGAGAAAACCCCTGCTTATCAACTTAGATGTCCGCTGCAACTAACAAGGACTGTACCAGGGGAAAGGATTGGGCCCAGAGTAGGAAGGACTCTAGTCTGTGAAAGAAGCTTATTGGAACATCTTTGAGGGTGAGATATTACTTGTAATCAGGTTTCAGAGGAACAGCCGTGTTAGTCTGTATTCGCAAAAAGAAAAGGAGTACTTGTGGCACCTTAGAGACTAACCAATTTATTTGAGCATGAGCTTTCGTGAGCTACAGCTCACTTCATCAGATGTTTACCGTGGAAACTGCAGCGGACTTTATATACACACAGAGAATATGAAACAATACCTCCTCCCACCCCACTGTCCTGCTGGTAATAGCTTATCTAAAGTGATCAACAGGTGGGCCATTTCCAGCACAAATCCAGGTTTTCTCACCCTCCACCCCCCACACAAATTCACTCTCCTGCTGGTGCTAGCCCATCCAAAGTGACAACTCTTTACATAATCAAGTAGGGCTATTTCCTGCATAGATCAAGGTTTTCTCACATCCCCCCACCCCCATACACACACAAACTCACTCTCCTGCTGGTAATAGCTCATCTAAACTGACCACTCTCCAAGTTTAAATCCAAGTTAAACTAGAACATCGGGGGGGGGGGGGGTAGGATGTGAGAAAACCTTGATCTATGCAGGAAATAGCCCTACTTGATTATGTAAAGAGTTGTCACTTTGGATGGGCTAGCACCAGCAGGAGAGTGAATTTGTGTGGGGGTGGAGGGTGAGAAAACCTGGATTTGTGCTGGAAATGGCCCACCTGTTGATCACTTTAGATAAGCTATTACCAGCAGGACAGTGGGGTGGGAGGAGGTATTGTTTCATATTCTCTGTGTGTATATAAAGTCTGCTGCAGTTTCCACGGTAAACATCTGATGAAGTGAGCTGTAGCTCACGAAAGCTCATGCTCAAATAAATTGGTTAGTCTCTAAGGTGCCACAAGTACTCCTTTTCTTTTTACTTGTAATCAGTTTCTTAATGTATGAGGCTTAAACGTGCGTGTTTGTTTTATTTTGCTTGGTAACTTACTTTGTTTTCTCTGTTATTACTTGAAACCACTTAAATCCTACTTTTTATACTTAATAAAATCACTTTTGTTTATTAATTAACCCAGAGTAAGTGATTAATACCTGGGGGGGGGGGCGGCAAACAACTGTGCATATCACTCTATCAGTGATATAGAGGGCGGACAATTTATGAGTTTACCCTGTATAAGCTTTATAGAGAGTAAAATGGATTTATTTGGGGTCTGGATCCCATTGGGAGCTGGGTGTCTGGGTGCTAGAGAGAGGTGACCTGCTGAGCTGTTTTCAGTTAAAGTCTGAAGTTTTGGGGGCATGGACCAGACCTGGGTGTGTGTTGCAGCAGGCTAGCGTGTCTGGCTCAACAAGGCAGGGTTCTGGAGTCCCAGGCTGGCAGGGAAAACGGGCTCAGAGGTAATTTCAGCACATCAGGTGACAGTCCCAAGGGGATCAGAGAGACTGAACCCATCACAGCTTCAACTAGCAGTGAAAATCCAGCCTCGAGCAATTCACCCCCGGTCACATGGCAAATCTATGCGGGAGCCAGGCACTGAACCCCCATTTCCCAAGTCACAGCCCCAGGCCTTAACCACACGGCCACTCTGCTGTTTTAAATGCGAGCTGCAACATTTACGGAGTTAATAGAACTGAAATGGACCCACCAGTTGTTGAATTCAGTGCCACTGGCCCACATCCAGGGTTGGTCCCGTTCCCTCCGGAGGCCGATCCAGTGGATAAAGGGTCCTCTATAGCGCAGCAGGAAACCCTTTGTTAAAAATGTAAAAACAAATACACGTTACACATCTCCAACTCTGGGATCTCTATAACCTACACTGGATTCTCTGGGCTGCTCCACAGGGCGCTGGGCAGGTGGTCCAGGCTGGGAATTCTACACCAAGAAAGGACATCCCAAACTCAGAGGCAGCACCCGTCCGCTCCGTGAGTTATGGGTTGGTCAGCACACGCAGGGACATCGTGCTCAGACTAGTCTAGTGTATTTCGTACAGCTCGCTGAAGATTTTTCATCAATATTTCTGTGATAGAAAATGAGTTTCCCATAAAGTTGAATTTTTCCTATGTTTAATTTTGATTTCTTTGAAAAGTTTCTATTTTCCACTGAGCGATGATTTTGTTTCGGGTCATTTGTTTGACATTTCTCTGTAGCCAGCTGAGTTACCAAGGTGCCTCATGGGAGTTATAGGTTGGGCCTCATACCTCCATTCTCTGCTATGGGTTGGGTTCCCCCAGACTAAGTCTCCTATAATGCACCTTGGTTTCCCTATTGGCTGAGCCACTGCTGGGCATCATGGGAGATATAGTCCAACCTGGAATCTCAGCACACAGAAGGGGGCAGAAGGCACCCAAATGATAACCCCCATGAGGAACCACAGGTGCTGTTCAATGTTGAACCATGCTAAAGCAAAATGTTTTGATTTGGTTTGAGAAATCAAACTGCTTTGATATATGAATGATGAAAGAAATTGGTTTGATCAAATGTGGAAACCA